AGAAGGATTCCCACCAAGAGGGAATGAGGGAGAGAACATGAGTTTCTTCGAGCCACGAGAGCTCAAAACGAAAGGGCTTGAGCCTTTAGAGATGGAAAGAGTATCAAGCATGATGGGGCAGTGGTGAGAGGTAAGTTTAGGTAAGGCCAAGGCGTGGGAGCCGAGGAAGACCACATCCCAACTTGTAGAAAAGAGGAACCTATCAAGTTTGGAGAGGGAAGGTTGAGACGAGTGGTCGAACCTGGTGTAATGATTGCTTTGTAGGGGAATGTCAATGAGGTCATTACGCGAGATGAAAAAGTCCATCATCCCTTGGGGATGTTTGGGTTGAAGTTCCTCTCGAGTGACCATCTGGTAATGTTGAAATCCCCCCCAAGGCAACGAGATCAAGCTGGTCCCAAAGGAAGGGTGGCAACGAGATCAAGCTGGTCCCAAAGGAAGGGTGGCAACGAGATCAAGCTCGTCCCAAAGGAAGGGTGGCAACGAGATCAAGCTTGTCTCAAAGGAGGGTTCTGTGCGCAGCGGAGTTAGGGCTGTAGATGGCCATGAATTTCCAAGAAAGACCATTCGTGTTCCTTGAAAGGAGTACTGTGACTGAGAACATCCCAATGAGAGAGGACATGAGAGTGTTCAGAAGGGTTCCAGATGACCCAAATGCTTTTGAATGACCCTTCAGCAGGCAAAGACACCCATTGACATGGCCTGCGGCCCCGAACTTGTCTGACCAAGTTGAGGGAGGGGTGGGGTTGTTTGGTTTCGATGATAGCCAAAACGCCAGGGTGATGTTTGGAACAAAGGTCGCGAGCAGCATTGCATTTAAGGGTCTGACCCAGACCACGAGCATTCCAAGAAAGAATCTTCATAAGGGAGTGAGAGGTGTGGGAGGGGCGGTCAGTATAGGAGACCTTCTCAAAGGAGGGTCCAAGAGGAGAGATGAGGGGCTTGGCCTTGAAGGAGGAACAACAGACGATGGTCTGTCATAGTTAATATCAGAAACGAGATTCATCAGTTCCCTATAACCTTTGAATCTCACATTGAGCCTGCTTTAAGCGTCCGCCTGGAGCACAGATGAAAAGGGCCCTCAGGTCCATCATAGGGGAGCCCATGACATTGAGCACTTCCTTGTTGGCCACGGTCTATCCCGTCCACATACTCAGAGTTCACAGTTGAAGCTGATGGGACGGTGGCAGTGCTAGAAGAAGGGGAGGGCGAGCAAGAGAACACCGAGGTTGTGGAATGGGAGGATGCCAAGGGGTAGGTGGAGTTTTGGTCAGGGAGGAGGCGGGGGCGGCTAGGCACAGAGGGGGTGGGAAGCAGAGGGCCTGAAGGAATAGCTGGGGGGTTAGGTAGAGGGGCTAGAGGTGGGGGGTTCGGAGGAGTGATGTTAAGGGGATAAGAGCGATAAAGAGCCAGGAGTGAGGCCAGGATTGCGGGGTCCGGAGGTGTGGGGTCATCAGACTCCACCACAATAAACCCATCGGGTTAGGAGGCCACACCATCGGGAAAGGTGTTTGGGATGGTGGTTGAAGAGGTACAAGAGGTTATGTGGGGGGGGGGGGGGGGGTGGTGAGTGAGAATGGGGGGGGAAAGGGTCAGGTTGGCCATGAGGGGAAGATACAGGTGAGGGTGAGGGCTCAAGGGGCCGAGGGAGATGAGAGGAGGACATAGGGCAAGAGGAAAGTGGTGGCAGGGATGAATGTTGGTCAACCAGGGTGGGCGGAAGTGAAAGCGAGGATGAGGGGGGCTGCTTAGGTTAACTGGAGGTGGGAGGGGGGTGTTGTCGAAGGGGGGGAAAGAGGGAAAAGGAGGCTGCAGGGAATGGAGGAGGGAAGGGTTAGGGGAGGGAAGGGAGAAGGATGGGGAAGAGATCAAAGCAGAAGGAGAGGGAGGCGTGAAGGGTGAGGAGTAGATAGGGCGTTGTCGAAGGGGGGGAAAGAGGGAAGAGGAGGCTGCAGGGAATGGAGGAGGGAAGGGTTAGGGGAGAGAAGGGTGAAGGATGGGGAAGAGATCAAAGCAGAAGGAGAGGGAGGGGTGAAGGGTGAGGGGGAGATTGGGGCCAAGGTGGGGATCTTAAGGGACAAGGGCAGGGGAGGGGGACAAGTGTCCCCAAATGGATTGGGGGGTGAAGGTGGAATGGACGCCATCCAGCGGGGTGGGAAAAGGGAAGGGAGACAGATGTCCGGGGGGGGGGGACGAGGAGGAAGAGGGTGGCGGGCAAAGTGGGAAGGGGTGGAGTCTTTGGAAGGTGGGCTTGACGGCGGGCAGGGGATTGCAAAAGGCGAGAAGCCTAGGGAGGGGTGAAGAACTATGCTGCAAAGGAGGAGTTGCGCTACTCGAGGATGAGGGGAGAGCATGATGAGGAAGACTGACAAGGTCAAAGGGGCCTGCAGGGTTGATAAATGCGGGTGGCTGGGTAGGGTGAGGGGGGGACACGTCAACCAAGATGGCTTTGCTGTGTCTAGAGGGGAGAGGGGGGACACGTCAACCAAGATGGCTTTGCTGTGTCTAGAGGGGAGAGGGGGGACTCGTCAACCAAGACAGCCTTGCTGTGTTTAGAGGGGAGAGGGGGGGGGCACGTCTTCCATACATCTCCTGGCCAAATACAAATCTGATGATACCTACTTCTCAGATCTCATCATCATCATTATCCGAGTCTTATTCCAATTATTTGGGGTCAGCTACACGAATTATATTCTGCCATTCTACTCTATCAAGGTCCATACCCTCAGTCAGGCCACAAATCACCATTTTTTTTCTCATTATGTCCGTTGATGTTCTTGGGGCCTTTCCCTTGGCCCTTTTAAAGCCGTCCGCTTGAACCAAATCACCCTCATATCCGGTGCAATTCCAGGTTGATGTTTCACATGATCAGACCACCTAGGTCATTTTTCTTCATTTTTTCCGCCCTCATTGGAGCCACTCACTTCTCAAATCTATATTCGAACAATGCGTAGCATCAACCAACATGCCCAACATATCATCCAGGCGCGGAATTAGGAAGCAATGTTTGATTGTATTCTAATTAATTACCATGCTGTCCACCGACAGGCCAAGTCCCAACCTCCTTAGGTGTCAATGAAGCCGGGACAGCTCATGGAGTCATGCTTTCTCAAATGAATCCTTTCTGTAAAAGCTCTATAACCTGCCTCTGTAACTCTTTATGTTCTTTTGAGCTTATCCTATATGCTGCTTTCTTCTGTAAGCTAAACCTAGGAACAAGGTCTATTTGACATTGGATGGCCCTAGTGGGTGGTAACTCCTTGGGAACTCATCTGGAATGAGATCACGATAATCCCTCATTAATGATTCTAATTGTAGTGGAACTGAATAAAAATGTGGTGCTCCCCATGTCCATATCTTCTATCGTCAAAATCAGAATGTCCCCCTTTCGCTCCTTGCCCTAAGCTATTCCCACCTTGCTGAGGCACCCTTCTTCAATTTAGCGTGATGCTCCCCCTGTCCACGTCTTCTCTCACCTTCCTCTTCATTCGACTCCTTATTTGGAGCATGGGGTGAAAAGGGTTGTACTCATCTTCTTGGGTAGAAAGATCATTGTTTTTCCCATGAATAATGCCCATGAATTGTTGTGCAAGCCGCTGAACTCGTCTCCTGAGTTCTTCAATCTCTTCATTGCTAGCATCAGGGGGAAGATCTACGAGAGCTCCTCTTCGTTGATACCTTCTTGCTGCCGTGAATTCACTGAAATCACAACCCTAGCAGAATCAGGAAATCCAAGGCTGAAACCACAAATCTTAGCTTGAAATAATCAAGTTCTAGGCTGAAATCAGTAAAACCTGAGGCTGAAATCAGCACTCCCTGTGCTGAATTCAGCAAAGGATAGACTTGATCGAAGATTTCTTCTCTTGTGGATCACAAAACCTCGACTCTGTACCAATTGATGTAGGATTTGATGAAGAAAATAGAAAATTATACAAATCCAAGTAAAAAACAAGCACAAATTGAAAACTTTCCTCCCCATAACCCTAATTAGGGAACAAAAACTTCATGTTTTTTCTCCTTCCAAAGTCACATCAGGGCCCTCTCGACTTTCACCTATTACTTTTTATATCAGGGGCCTCTACTTTTTATCTCTTGATTCATTATGTCAGTCATTAATACCCTTCTCCAAAATAAATATGCCTAAACAGTCCCATATTAAAGTAATGTAAATTAAAAGGGATTGTAGGCTATGAAACCATTTATCTTTAGTAAAAAGAGGTCACAACTAACTCTTGCCATTAGATGTCCAATTGGATGGCTTGGGGTGCATCACAAAGTTCAAGAAATTTTTTGTTGGGCTTTGAGATTAGTCACAAGTACAATTACAACCATCTGATTTTAAATTTGATGGACAAAAATAGTTGTGACCTCCTTGTACTAAAAGTAAATGGTCTCTTTGTGTACTTTTCTAAATTAAAATAACCTAATTTAAAAGGGTGCAGTTTGTATCGAGCTTATGCTCTAAACAATCAAATTAGAGCATACCTTCAAAAAGTGTCGAGAAATGTGGTTTCAATTTTGGAATCTTTGTGATAGCCTTAAAATATATTTTCATAAGTTTAAAGCTTCAAAAATAGTGTAGATCGATAGATCTATGAAAACTTCAAAATCTTGAAAAATGACGGTCCAAAAATGCGTTATAATCAGTGCTTGCTCCTCTTATCAACTAAAGAGATTATCCAATCAGTGCTTGCTCCTCATATTCTTCTCGGTAGCTCGTTTGGGACATGTATCCTCCGAATAGATGCATGCATTAGGGGGAATCTGCTGCTCTAGGAGATGACAGTTTTCGTTAGTCATACTTTGGATGTCATCAGAGAATATTGATGATTGTTAATCTTTCTAAAAATACTAAATAAATTGCTGGGGTTAGATCTGACATGGAACTTATGTGCATTTTCTTTCCAATGTACTGATATTAACCCAATGTATATATTCCCTCACAAACTACCTATTTTTCTCGTCTGCGACATTGTGATGTGCTCTTGTTGTAAGTGCAGGTAATTTCACTAGTACAGAGAGGTGGACAGTGAAGTATGCTGGAGCAGCAGCCATGTACCTCGTCTCGAAGAGGCTGAAGAAGAGGCACAATATCACTGATGAACGTGCTGCACTGTATGAAGCTGCAGAAACATGGGTTGAGGCTCTTAATGGGAGGGATTTCCTTGGTTTGTGCCTCCCCTTCCCTCTTTTCTCTCTCTCTCTCTCTCTCTCTCTCTGCTGCTTGAGGTGTGTGTGTCCCTGTTTGTTTATATTGGTTTTTTTCATAATTACGTAGGGGGCTCCAAGCCTAACTCAGCAGACTTGGCAGTCTTTGGTGTTTTAAGACCTATTCGGTATCTCAGATCTGGCCGAGATATGATTGAAAACACGTGCATTGGAGAGTGGTACATGAGAATGGAATTAGTTGTTGGAGAATCTGCGAGAATCAAAGTTTAAGAAACATTTTGAGTTCTGTTACTTATAGAGTTTGGTCTTTGCTTTTTATTTTCAGCTATTAATTTGCCATCTGTGCATTCATTGATTGAACATAATTCTATAACCGTTATCAGTTATGCAAAGATGACAGGATTAAAAGCCGAGAAATGTGCAATATTAAGAGCCTCTCTAATGAGGAGAAGTTGATGTGGGATATTGGTGTGCACTGATGAAGAAGTTGCTGGTATCTCTTCGCTCAAAAATTTTTATCATCTTGGAAATTACAAGAACTTCCACGTTGCACATGTTGCTCTCTCTTTTTTCCTGAAAAGAAGTTCAATTGTGCGTGGAAGTGTATTCTGACTGTATCTCCAGCAAGACTTGGGGCTTTTCAATAATTCAGTGTGCAGTATCACAGAATTTTTTTAACGGCAACTGAAATCTGTAGCGTCATGATGATGCAATTATCTTGGATTCTTTGACAAGTTTCACTATATTTTTATGGGAAAAGTTTATACAGAGCCAAGACTATAAACAATCAAATTTGAGCTTACCTCAAAAATTTCATTAGAAGAGGTTGTTTTAATGCTCAAATATATTCCAATAGGTCATCTCGACATCAAGATGCATGGACATGAGAAAAAAATAGATTTCAAGCTTTAGAAGTAGTGTATTTTGCAACGCAATTTTGGACCGTTAATTTTCAAGATTTTCAAGTTTCATAAATCTATCGATCTACACTATTTATGAAACTTGAAATTATGAAATTTATTTTAAAGTTGTTGCAAAGATTTTCAATAATGAAACTACATTTCTCGATACTATTTGAAGGTAGGCTCTAATTTGATTGTTTAGAGCCTAGGCTCTATACAAACCGCACCCTATTTTTATTACAATGTATTATTTGTGCTTGTGTAATTTTATGGATTTTCAATTTACAAGGTAGTGCCGTAAGAAAGCTTTGCTGTGTAATGGGATAAAGAAATCGGTGTCTTCTTTCCTTTTCATATTATGAATGCTATTTCGTGGTGATTATGTGCTAGAAAAAGTTACAAATATGTCAGTTGTTTTGGTTGGGAGCGCACCATTGTTGATCGATCAATGTTTGTTTTTGTTTTATTTTTTATTTTTTTGCTGAATTTAATATCTTCCAAATTATGTTGATCTGTTATGGGGAATTATTGTGCCTTGGGACATGGGGAGTCTCCTATATGATAGGTGCAAGAGCTCGCTGTCCACCAGCAGAGGGGTTAATGGGTCAGGCTCGGATCGGGGCCATGCCTGGCCCAAATCTTTTGAATCTAAGCCTGAGTCCAGCCTTACCCCAAACTTGTACCTAAAGGCTAGCCCCGAGCCAGACCCAAATTCTATGGCTAAAGCCCGAGTACGGTCTGAGCAATCCGTGTTCTATGGAAACGGTCTAGTGATGGCCTTCCAAATGCACCACCTCGGCAAGGACATGGGGATGTAAAAAAGGGATCCTATCAATTTGTTCTTGGATAATAAGCTCATGGATTTAGTTTTACTTTACTTTGGAAAAATAAAAGAAGACTTCCATCTCCAAGCTTATCTCCTCCTTTTTTGTTGTGAAGCAGTGTCCCAATTGGCGTCTTTCCAATTCTAAGAACTTTCATTGTGAACCTTGCTTGGCCATGGCTTCGGTAAAAGTGATAGTAGACTCTTGAATGCCGAACTTGTAATTAAGCTATGGTGCAAAAGCATGGAGAAGAGGTGTAATCTAAAGAAGAAGAAAAAGGGATTAGAGAGAAACCCACGGCTAGGATTTGTGATTTTTGGTTTGGTGGGTTTCCATTTGGGGTTCTCGAGTCCTTCAAAGGTAACAATTGCATGGTCATGGTTGACAATCAGATTATGTTATGCTTCAGTTTGACATGGTTTTTCAGGGCTTCCAAAAAAAAGTCCAGGAAACAAACCCACGTCCCCATCTTTTGACTCTCTCACACTTGTCCAAGAAACCCTACAAGTCCCTTCCAGGCGTGTGAGAACTCTCAAACCTTCCACTGAACGGCTCAGGATTTGCACTGTGCGAGATGGAGTGTATAAAGGACGAGTCCAAAGTAAAGAAAACAAAAAAAATTATTTGTAGAAACTCACTTCACATTTTGTTCATAAAATTTACAGCAGCATAGATGGCTGTAAAACGCTCAATCCTCACATACATTTTCTCCAATACTTAAAATAGGATCACTTCATTTGGTCTCTAATATAATTTCCACTCAAAAGGACACTAAGGAGACAAAGGAAATGCAACACAATTTCTCTTGAGCAAAATCTCTCCTCATACACATGATTCATGCATTCTCACCGACACATAAAATATGAACACGTACATGAATTTAATCATCATTCAAATACATAAGTCTAGCAACAATATGCATGCAAAAGTCAATTTAGTGACGTGGGAAGCCAAAACCAAAACTCTCACAGTGCCCGGATGACCACCAGAGACTTATGTACAACCCCTAGAGACTTATGTACAACCCCTGTTATTGTTCTTCCCGATAGCGTAAGCTATAAGAACCTCGATCCAATCGGTGTGAAGCAAGCACCTCAAATACACACACGACACTCTATGGGTGCTCAAACGATAACAAAAACAATAATGGGAATGGGACCTTCTATGAACCACATGTGGGACAAGAGGATGGAGAACTCAACGTGCGGAAGAGAATTAGCATGGGCTTCGGTGTGAGTACAAGGAAATAAGAGCAAGGGTTCCATATTCAACAGGCACACGATATAGGTTGCTCGAGGGATATTTGGATTCGAGAAAGGACGTTTTACTCACTGTTATATCATGGAAATCTCAGAAAATTTCCAGTTGCAAGTGCTTTACAAAATTAGGCCAAAACTATTTTAAGCTGCATAAAGGAGCAAAGCGTATAAGGCAACTAGGCTAGTGATGAAATAAAGACTAAAAGTAATTTTCGTATTAGCAAAGGGACAAGGTTTACGTTGCTGTAAATGTAACTTACAGCAAGCAAAGGGACTTCATACAATGAGGATAATGGTAGTGTCGTGATCTCAAGCTTTGGCTTTGAGAGGACCTCTTACACCATGCATTTAATCTCATAGTTTCTCTCATGGACGTGAGGGATTCAATGGACTCTCCAAGGTGGGGCGTGCCACTTCTCTCTCTCTTTTCAAAGTTAACTTGAGTTATTGTTGGGTTTATGTAGCCATTAAAGGCATTATTAGAGGGAGCTTGTATAAATATTTTATGTTGTAAAACATAAACACAGTAGGAGTGTGATCCTATGTGGATCATACTATACAAATGATGTTTTTTGATACCGTATTGTGCTTGACATGCTAGGTCAGTTGGTTGGGATAAACTCATGTTACCTGAGCATAAAGATTAAATCGATAAGAGTTTTGATGGGTCATTCCTTGATGAGGTCGGAATATGCCCAGATGAGTGAGCCGAGGGACTGTGTGACCCTTGTGTATGATGGTGGCCCTCAGAGACGGGGCTAAAGCTTCATCCATGTACCATCACATGACGCGCACATATGATAGTTGTATCGGGAAGCGAACCACATTTCAGGGTGAAATATGTGTATGTGCGAGAGATTACCCCTATCATGGAGTTGTGGTTGCATCAGGTCTAAATAACATTGATTCGTTTCTAGGAGAGAACCTGAAATCCACAAACTGCGATTACGTCCCCTTGTCTATTGGCTGACTTTGGTGGCCCAATCATGAGCCCCTGTAATGGGCTGTAGGTCATAAGAACCGCTGGGTCAGTTTGAGAAAGCAAGTGTGGACCGTGATCCACAGTAGAAAGTGGAATGCCGCAGTGTTTTATTATTCGTAGATCATATAGATATAAATCCCATCAAAAGTATTTAATTATAATTGTTTTGATGTTATTTAATTTTTAGAATTGTTGTTTGAATTTTTCTTAATATCTAGGTATTTTATTTGTATGATTTAAATTTATAAGAACCAGAGATATTAAATTTTCATTGTTTTAAATATTCAAATAGAATTAATCATTATTTTTTATTTTTAAAAATCAATTTTTTAATATTTTATTATTGCATGGGGGCCATTAGTATATATGAGCTACTATTGCAAGTTGGTGGGGCCTATGAAAGCACGCCCTATCCCCTTATACTTTCTTGTGTGCCCAAGCAAGCTTGAGGATTAAGAAATTGTGTTTTAGAAAGGTTTGATGTTGTAGAGGTTTTGAAATCAAACATGGAAGAAAATAAGAGACTTGTGCATGAAATTGGAATGTATAATATTATAATAGGAAAATATCTCTTTATCCCCTATTTTTAACTTCTATATCTTATGAAACTCAGGAATTGAAAATATTACTTGTGAGCAAAAGGTCTCCATCTTTTTTATCTTACAACCCCCTAAACCTCTTTGACCATAAATTTTTGACCCAAACAAATACTAAAA